GTTTTTCATTTCCTATCACTTATAGGACACGCTATTCTCCTGTTGTGTTTTCCAATAAAGAGACAATACATTAGTTAAATGATGACGACCACATCTGCGTGAAACGTCAGTCGGCGGCGTCTGCAGGTGTTGACTTTTCAGTTAACTTTGCTGAGGCTTATGCCTTATGTACTGCAAGAACTTCTGAAACCTTTAAGGAGCTTCTTTTTTCAGCTTTCTAACAAAGTTATAGAACCCATTAAAATAATTTAAAAATGTCAGTAAGATTGCGGCAACGTTGAAAAATCCACATTTTACCAAAATCAAAAACAATAAGCCTAACAGCATATTCTAATACAGGTACTACATTCATCAAAACAATCTCAACAATTCAGCACGTGCATAAATATTATATAATATGCATTAATATAAAGATTAGTTGTTCATCTTTAACAACTAACTTTATGATAGTTAAAATGAATGAACTTCTTTCATTTTCGGAATTAAAGGAAATTATAGATATCTAGTTTGAATTTGGTAGACCCAAGACGGGTCAAACAGAGTATAATATTACTTTGAAACTAGTAATGTAAAGATTTTAATATTGCATTGTAAGAAGTTGTAGTCATCTGTTCTCACATTAGAATCAAGAAATGCAGATTTCTGTAGCTTTAACCAGATGTGTTAAAGCTACAGGAATAGCTTTAACAGTTAATGAAAATAGTTTGAAAGATCAATTCTGTTGATAGTTTTGGAGTTAGTAGTTGAACGAGTAATATTGATTGTTGACTAAAATGAAAAAGCACTGTTTATATCTACAATTACAGACTAGTAAAACTTGAATCTAGGATTTTTATTGTCAATTAAAATGTCAGTGTGGAAACCACTTTTGTTTCCACTATGCAGTAGTTGGCACTGTCACCTCACAATGATTGTGATTGGTGGTCTGTATCTTGGTGTTAGCCCTGCGACAGACTGTCCAGGGTGTACTAGGACCTCTCACCCCATGACTGCTGGGCTCCAGCCTCAGAGCATCCTACTTTGGAATAAAACAACATTTAATACATGAATTAGTGAAATTCAACTGCCAAATTAAAATTTAATGTAAAGTCTGATGTTTCATAATGTCTGTTGCAGTGGTGGAGAAGCAAGATGGTAAAACAACAAATGTAAGTAAAGCTCAGAACCATTCAAAATTTTATTGTTGTGAAGTTAAATAATTGCAAAACTTTTTTTTTGAATCATCATCATTGTTTTGGATAATTACACAAAACATTTTGATGTATTTTAATAAGGCCTAATATAAATACGTAATAAACTCTGTAACCAGCAGTGAGAGACCATGTTGGAGTTGAGGAGTATTATTCCGCACTTGTAAATAAATAGCAAATGCTATTAGTATAATAAAAATGCTTTGATTCTGATAAAGTAACTGTCATATCTCTTATTTTTATGTTAGATTGAAGGACAAATTCTGGAAGTTCCAGTCGGAGCACAGCCTCCAAATCCCACAGCCAAGTGTCCAATCTACAGATGGAATCTGCAGAACAAATACAACTACACAGTAAATACTTTCACTGTTATTAGTGACATTATTATTAATATTACTGTATTAGCCTGATTTTCTCTTTCTTTTTTGTATTTTCCCTTCCCAGGATGTCTTGTTGCTCAGTCAGTTCATCAGGTCAGATGGAGGGATGTTGCCCAGGAGAGTCACTGGTCTCTGTCCAGAAGAGCACCGCAAGATTGCCATTTGTGTACAGATGGCTCACAGAGCAGGTCAGTGGAAGTCCTGCTGTTGTGCTTTAAGTTTTTAAGTTACCCATCAGTAGCACCTCCACAGCTCTAGACACGTGTCATATATCATGAAGCCTCCTTGTACTTTCTTTCCACCTGTAAGTGGGTTATTTAGTTTACTCAGATAAAATAAATACAAAGGTTAATAGCCACTTTGTCTGAGTATTTTTATTTAGCTTGGGTTCAGTGGAGTGACTTTTATGTGTCCTTTATTTAGCAAGGTAAAAATGTTTGACAATAAAAATGGTCTTTTTCAAAAGAGATGTAGCCAAGAGGGCAGCAAATTGTAACAAATGTAACATAGCAGTTATATATAGACATTTTAAGAGGCCAGACAGGAATGAATTGATTATAATGTTGGTGCAGTAATGCAGCACTTGCAAAACAGGTCACAAGAAACAAAAGAATTTAGTGTTTGGCAGTCAGTCGTTTTTTAAGCACGGCAAGGGAACAAACTGTACACTGATCATGATTTTCATACTTTTCCTGAGCCTGTCAGAGTATTTCTGCTGCATTAAACACGCACGAGGGGTCAGAAGATCACAGCATAGTTAATTCTTGGCTTTTTCTCTTGCTTTGAGAGATTTCACCTGAGTACACAATTTTGAAACCCCTCTAAGTCTTTCTGCTAAAGATTTATGTGCATTTTGTTAATACCCAGTCATCATGCTGACTTGTTGCTAATGAATCTAATGAATTCCTAATGAGTGAGAAATTCCACCTGTTGGACCCTTCCAACATTTTTCCTGTTTTAATATAAAACATTGACATAGTCATTGTGATACAACCCACTATTTTTCAGGGCTATCAGTTACCTTATATGGATGAATACTAGCAACATGCATTACTATATAATATTTGTTGGTAATTCCCTTAAAAGACAGCAGAGAGATGCAGTTCAGTGAGTCCTGTTATAGGAGGGAGAGCCTAGCAGACACTGAATGGCTCTAGCTGCCTATGTCAACAAATGCAACTGTGTCCTTAACTCCAGTATTCAGGTGGATGAGTTGTTTTAAAAACAAGTCTGGTCATGAAATTTCCTCTCTGCTAAATATTTCACAGTTAGTATTATTATAATAAAGTAGAAATGATTTGGAACGACAGCAAATCAGATATGAACTGATAGGCCATGTAAAATTAGAGTGGGGTTATGGGATGCTAAGGCACTTACTGCACTGAGGTCAAATCAACTTTCTGCAGAGTACTCACTACAGACCTCCAAGCTTCATGTGGCCTTCAGATAAGCTCAAGAACAGTGTGTAGAGAGGTTCATGGAGTGCGTTTTCATGGCCGAGCAGCTGCATCCAAGCCTTAAATCACCATGCTGTCTGGCAATCCGATGGACGAGTCTGGGTTTGGTGTTTGTCATGAAACCAGTACTTGTGTGACTGCATTGTGCCAAGTGTAAAGTTTGGTGGAGGGAGGATTATGGTGTGGGGGTTGTTTTTTTTTTTAGGAGTTGGGCTTGCACCCTTAGTTCCAGTGAGAGAAACTCTTGATGTTTCAGCATCCCAAGACATTTTGGACAATTTCTCTCCCCAACGGGGCAGGGATAGCTCAGTAGGTGGAGTGGTGGCCCCGTGATCGGAGGGTCAGGGGTTCGATTCCCCTGAACAGCTACCCTGAGGTACCCCTGAGCAAGGTACCATCCCTACACACTGCTCCCCGGGCGCCCAATTGCTGCCCACCGCTTCACTGAGTGAATGGGTTAAATGCAGAGAGGAATTTCCCCACGGGGGTTAAATAAAGTACACTTTCTTTCTTTCTTTGTGGGATCAGTTTGGGTTTGACCCCTTCTGGTCCAACATGACTACTCACCAGTGTACAAAGCAAGGTCCAAAAAGAAATGGATGAGTGAGTTTAGTGTGGAAGAACTTGACTGGCCTGCGCAGAGTCACCTCACCCGACAGAACACCTTTGGGATTAGAGTGGAGACAGTGAGTCAGGCCTGGTCGTGAAACATCAGTGTTTGACCTCACTAATGTGCTTCTGGAAGAAATGCCCAAAAATTCCCATAAACGCTCTTAAACCTTGTGGAAAGCCTTCCGAGAAGAGTTGAAGCTGTTATAGCCGCAAAGGTTAGGCTGACGTCATATTAACGCCTATGGATTAAGAATGAGATATCCTTGAGTTCATATGCGTGTAAAAGCAAACAAGCGAATACTTTTGGCAGTACACTGCATTTTCTTTGTACTTTTCAAAATCAAGCACAAATAATTTTAACTTTTGAGTTCTGTTTATACCTTCATTTTACAAAGCATCACAGCTTGTTATGAAAGGTTTGAATTTGACACTGCCTAAAGGCAAATAATTGTGCAACCTGGACCAAGACATGATAGTAGGGTTGTAAACTTGTTCTTGCTTGTTCCTCAAGTCTTTTATTCATTTTAGAACAACCTGAATTTGTCTGCTTCACGTGTTTATTATCTACTACGCAGACGATAAACACTGTCAGCTGTAACATTACATTAAATGAAAACTGAGCAGTAATTTGGTGACTGTAATGACAGTGAGAAGTAAATCTTAATGTGTCATCAGTACATTGTCTTTTATAACTGTCTTTTGAGAGTTTGTAACAGTATTTATTTTTTTTAATACAAGTACTGAGAAATTTAAGTTAATAAATGCATCTTGTTATTTTGTGTGTTCAAGGTCTGCTTCCTGACCATAAACCCAAACTTCCAGAAGACCATGTCCCAAAGAGACCCAAGCCCAAACTTAACAGGTGACGCATGTATCCATATCTGCGTATGCTTTTTTTTTTTATTTCAGCATTTGTATCCAGCGCAGTGCAGTTAATAATTCCCCTGCATCTCTGTTTGTGTACAGATACCTGACTCGCTGGTCCATCGACTCAGTGAAACCCATCTATAAAACTGGACTGAAGTGGTGTAAGAAGCGTATGCCTGTTGGCCACCCAATACTAAAGAACAATGTGCGTTATGGTGTCAAGCCCTTGTACATAAAACACTGAAGGACCAAAAGCCTGAAAGATTGGTACAACTGGAGGAAAGTGGGTGGGCCCATTTATTCAGGGATGAAACCACCATATCCCTGACTGCTAACCTTGACCGTTGTCATACAGTTCTGAGAAGGGAGGAAACAATTCCTAAAGGCTTCATCCATCTGTGTTTATGCTAACTTTTGTTTATTAAGCTGAGTCACTCTTTTAATGAATCACACTCAGACCCACCCGACACCATCTATTCTGGCTGTTGCTTTTCAAAAAAAAAAAAAAAAACTCTTGAAGGAAACCTGCTGACAACTTAATGCAAGCAACAACCTGATCAGTGTTACAGTTTCAAAGTAGGTGGTATGGTGACTGTGTATACTCAATGCAACACAGATGTGCAAATAAAATATGTGTGTTTACTCTGCCTCTCAACATGTGTTTACTGTGTAGGCACGGCCTTTGTGAATTGGAAGTAAATACAACAAAAAGTCTGTAGACACTAAACTGACTGTACCAACCTAGTTTTATTTGTTTTATAATACAACAAGCAGATTTTGGTTTTGTGAATTACTGAGTATGCAGCTTGAAAAAAAGCTTTTATAGCATGAAAGGAAGGTCCAAATTCTTGGTCCCGTCACCTATATAGATGTATCCATGCTGTGGTGTCATTGGCACGTGGTAGAAGGTCAGGCCGAACCACAGCAGACTGCGAAGCACGCACACTTTTCTTGCGAACTCAAACTGAAGACTCCAAGATCCTAGACACAAACACACAAGACTTGTAAACAGTTAATAGGAAAAGCAGGACGCTGCTAAATTATGTTCTCCAACAGAACCGTGAAGCTGAGCTGAAATAAAGGCTAAACACTAATCTTTGGAAATCTTACACTATTCAGCCAGAGGATACACCAATGAATCACGCTTCTGTGCTTTTGATGTCTATAGTCTAACCCGTTTGCCAAGTATGTTCGGGGTGTGACCATGAACGCCAAGAACCTAGGGAATTAAAACAAAGGCCAATATTTAAAAAAAAAAAAAAAAAAGTTGCAACTTTCCTGTTTCTGGATTTGATTTCAAAATATGATGCAACTAAAAGTAAAAAAACCCACGTCAACAGTATGTAATGTTCGTAGCAGGAGGCGAAACAAACTTAAATCAGGAGCTGGAAGCGGTTTGAGGGATGGTTAAGGAAAAGGGGGAGAGCCCAGCTTTGGGTCTCAGAGGAAAGCACCTGTCTTTTGGTGGAGATACATGATCCTGTTTTTCCCCCAGTGTCCCGTTAAGAAATGTTAACTCTTTATCCTTTCAGGCAGGAACATGCAATCCGCTGCAGTGAGCGTGGCACTGAAACAGCTGTGTGCTGTCTGCTTTAGACATGATGCAGCTGACATCCGCATCAACACAAAGAACACACACCGACTTGTACACATGTGGAAGCTCTCAGTCAGACATCTGCTGCATGTTTGGTTAAGGGTGCTAAACCTTTTTTTCTCTCTCTCTCTCTCTCCCTCACACACCCTGTTAAATCCAGACACTCACTCTTTACATTCACTCTGGTCTGGAGCATATCCAGTCGCTAACCTCGCAGACATGACTTTGCATGTCTGCTTTCACATTATTCTTTGCACAGTGTTCACTGTTGACGTTTTCCTGCTATGTGTGATAGTTTTTTTCCCCAATAATGTGCAGCCAGGATTATCATGTCATGCTTTCTGCTACATTGCCACATAATGATAGATGGTAGTAGTCTGTAGATGATATTATAGTTTGAGTTTGACTCCCATCCAAATGTGAGAAAATTCCATTAATCATGCAACATCAGTTTGGTTGGTGGTCCTATGTTACTGGTTTCTCTCCTGGTTCTCATTTTCCTCTCTCCCCTCAGGAATTGTTTATGGTAGAAGGCCAAAATCAAATTAATCTGCACCAAATCCTGTACTCAAAGCCCAGATATTCCAAATCCAAAAAGCCTGAGTGTCAGACCAAAGCATATAAACTCTGGGTAAGTAGACACAGGGAAATTCTTCTAAGCATATATTCCCAAAAATCCTTCCCATGTGGCTGGTATGTTAATGTCAGACGGTTTTAGAGGTTTGTGTTTATTGGTAGCCTCACTTGAACCACCGTTTTACTGGTAAAATTATGCAATTTGTTTCCACTTGGAAGAAGACCCTTATGGTTTTCAAACAGCTGAATCACCATAAGCGTTTTCTGTGAAAATCACCCCTTGTAATGTAGCACAGGAAATGGAACACATGTTAACGTCAAATCACCGCCCAATTCTGCTGAGAGATCAGTTATAAAATAAGAGCAATTAGCAGAAAATGAAATACTTGTTAAAAACAAATCTTAAGACCTGCACTGTTGAATTTATGCAATGAAAAAAATGTGACTGTGTGTTCAGGACAGATTAAGCTCTGTAGTGTCACCTTTCGGAATGTCATCACTGAGTGCATCCAGATAGTCCATTGCTGGGTTCCAATCACCCATGTCCAGGGCAGATTTCTTCTTCATATTTTTTGATTGTCTGAAGTGAAGGAAATTGTCAAGCTTCCTTGCTTCTGCCTCAGACAGACCTGAAGAAAAATCACACAATTTTGCCCATGTTTTACAAAAGATACAACAAAATACTGTATTTGTTGTTGATAAATGCAATAACATATCATTTTGTATGACATCAACGTTCACCATCATGTTGGCCCAAAGGTAACATGAAAAGGAATAACAGAAACAATGCACTTGTTTTAGTAGCCAAAAGTTTGTTGGCTGGCAAACTTAAGACAAGCCTTTCATGTGCCTTCTTGACTAGGGGAACATTATGGGTGCTGCAAGGTTTTAATCCATTACAGTGCGTTACCAATGCTGTTCTTGATGACCGTGGTCCTCCCAACTACCTTCAGATCATTAAGAGACTGTTCATTTCTTTGTAAGTGAAGTGAAGCAAGGGGATCAAATTGTTATTTCCCCCACAGTATATACATATTTACCACAGAAGCTGCGGTTGAGCTGGACAAGACCACGTGGACTCTTGATGAAGGCACCACGAGGCACCACAGACACTTCTGCATCGATCTGATGAACGGACACTGCCAGTCTTTTTTCCTCAGTTACTGTTATCTGTAACCAATATAAGCCAGAAAAAAGAAGAAGAAGAAAAAAATCAAACATTTGTCTTGGTTTTTTTACATTATGTTCAGTTTGGTTGCATGTAGATTCTTGTTTGAATTCATTGCATCATCGAACACTGCAGTAACACTGAATGGAACAGGAAAACACTTCATCCTGTAATTCAATTCGCCGTCTTACTAAACAGCACTGATCACACTTACCACTGCCTTCTCATTTACAGGCTCATTTCCCTTTCCTTGCCTGTGGATCTCTTGATGTTCATACACAAATGACGGGTCTCCCATGAAGCGACCCTTTGTAGCTTTGGACACTTCCTCTATCATAGAGTCTGAGGCAGGGGGAAGTAGGAACCAGTCCATGCAGTTCAAGCTGGAGTTAACACCACAAAATAGCAGCCCAATGGTATATCTCACGATCTTAAATAAATGTACAGTGGCTAAAATTAAAAATAAAACAAAAGACACTTGAAGCGGATGTCTTACCTATACAGGTTCTTTTTGTCTTTCATCTCATCTTCTCCTCTCCCCTGAGCAATAAAATAAACCCCATTAATTCCTAATATTTTACCCCAAAACAACACTCGACTGAACTTGTAGTTTTTCTTCAGGAGCACTAAGGAAGACTCCAGGGCGGTTCTTTGCTCGAGGGTTAAAATATGTCCAATACCGGCAACGAGCTCCAAAGAATAATACAACGAATTTGAGTCCATTATGTAACAGCTACAAGCTTTTACAAAGTCGTTTTCAATTAAATTAACGTGTTTTTTCCGACTATCTGTTAGCTAAAATAACAGCTAAAAAGCCCTACAGGTCGTGTCTTTGCACTCTAATGGCAACAAACACAGTTGCCATGGTTACGCAGGGTTATTTCGCTCATCGTGTTTATTTACTATTCTGAATAACTCCCCCCCCCCCCCAAGTGTTTCGTGCCTCTACGGGACATAACGATTAAAACAGACACGAAACATAGTTCATGTCGGGCGTGTTTGCTTATGATGTTTCCATAAACCAGACCACGAGCGACTGACGTCATCAACTCAAGTGTGTGCGTGCTAGCAGCGGTTCGGGGTGAAGCAGGCGGATAAAGTGCATAAACGTATAAATGTCAACCTGTCTGAATATGGTCACGTTTGTGCCGGAGGGAAGATTTAATGAAAGCTTTCCGTCTTAACTCTTGAGACAGGTATTAACACACAAAAACATGTCGGAAGAAGAGCCAAGTAGACTACTGTGTCCTGGCTGCTGGCGGATTGATTTATTTTCTGTACAAGCAGCAAGTAAAAGTGTCTTAACCGAAACTTTACACAGGGCGTCACAGAAGCCATTTTTACTCAGGTGTAACTAATAACATTAAATTGGCCTCTGTACCTAAATAGAAAAACATCCTGTCAGTGTGAATGCTTTCATTTAGATCTGGTCATGCTGCAGTACTGTAAAAAGTATATGACTATTAACATGTAAAATGGGTACATTTGGTTGGGGAAAAGTGCAAAAGGTAACTTCTGCCCCCCCCCCAAAATAACAAAGCAAAGCAAAACAAAACAAAACATGAAGCCAACATGGAAATGGGGCAAAAAACTGAAGTTTGACAGAGTGCCACTAGAGCACTCACCCAGCAAAGAGTCCAATCTGGCCCACTGAAGAGTTGGAAAATGTGAAGAAGGGTATAGATTTTGGACTTTTTAACTTTATTTTGATAAATATTACAGCTTTATCTGCTGATAAAGAGCAAACTCATGGTCATTTTCTCTAAATTATCAAACTATTCTTTAATTACAACACAGACTGGGAAATATGCTGACAGAAATATTTTCTGTAATTTTACACATTTGTTTCTTACAGTTTAAGCCCAAAGATTTGTGCTGACAGATTTCTTACATTTACCATCTCAGTCTTGATGCATTCTCAATCATCCAGGAAAGTAAATCTCCAAAAAGTTGATTCTGTTCATCTGGACGTAGCGTTTTGTGGGAGAAACGTTTCGTCACTCATCCAAGTGACTTCTTCAGTCTCAGCTGACTGCAGGTTTCTCCAGTCTTATAAACAGTATATTTGCATAATGACTGAAACCAGCCCACTGAAGGAACAATGGGCTGGGAGGTCAGTTCCTTAAAGATAATTATGCAAATTCATGACACCTGGGTTAAAATAAAATCTCAGGATGTACCACAATTCACGGATCACATTAACTTGGTGGACCGGCACATCAAATTCACCAGGGAGGATATGAAAAGTGGCAGGTTAGCCTTCTTGGACTGTGAGATTTCCATCAGTATGGGGGACATCTAAAAGCTGATGTGTACCGTAAACCTACACATACGGATCAGTATTTAAAGTTTGACTCTCATCATCCACTGGAGCACAAACTGGGTGTCATTAGGACGGTACAACACAGAGCGAACACCATCCCCACTGACACAGCGGCCAGGGAGGCAGAGCAGCAGCACATCAAGAAGGCCCTGAGTAAATGTGGTTATCCCAGCTGGACGTTTGTCAAAGCTGGAAAGGCACCTAAAGAAAGCTCCAGCCAATCCAGGAGAGAAGGACAACTGCTGCCCAAGCGAAAACCTCTAGTGATCCCATATGTGTCAGGAGTATCGGAGCAGTTGAGATGCATTTTTTCTAAACACCGGGGCTCTGTGGCTTTTAAACCCCAAAACACGCTGCGCCAAAAACTGGTCTACCCCAAGGATCGGGTCCCCCGACACAAACAGAGTAACATAGTGTACGCTGTTAAGTGCCAGGAGGATTGCCAGGATTTATACATCGGGGAAACCAAACAACCTCTGGCGAAGCGGATGGCACAACACAGAAGAGCTACCTCGTCAGGCCAGGACTCTGCAGTCTATTACACCTACAGGCCAGTGGACACTCTTTCAGTGAATTACACATCCTGGACAGGGAGGAACGCTGGTTTGAGCGTGGAGTCAAGGAGGCCATTTACGTGAAAAGGGAAAGACCATCTCTGAATCGAGGAGGGGGCCTAAGGGTACATCTTTCACCATCTTACAATGCTGTGATTGCAGCCATTCCCCAACTCTCTGTGAATGGTACTCATGGCCATTGATCAGTGGTCTTTGATCAGTGGGTTTTGGTCAGTGGTTGTTGATCAATGGTCATGAGAATTTGCATAATTACAGTTTTTTCTGAATGCTTAAACCCTAACTGTGATTCTTATAGCACAATTTCTAAAACTATTAATACTTATAGCAAAACCACTCACTGAGTTTGCAAAACTAAAAGCACAGACACTGCTTTGCACTCAGTTTGCCATTTTGTAACACACTTTGAAAACCTGTAGCTACAATCCACTGCACGGCACTCTTTTTGCAGAACTGTAAACACAACTCACTGCTTTACATTCAATTTCCAAACGATCAACGCACTTCTAGCAAAACTATACACATTTATGGCCATTATTTACACTATTTTGCCAGCTGTCTGGCACACTGTCACATGTGAAAACTTTTTTAGATAATTAGTTCACTTTGCAATCAGCCTAAGCACTATAATACAGGTAAGCTGTGTGTGTGGAGTACAATGGAGGGAGCAGGAAGGGTGAGAAGTAGAGGAGGCCGAGGAAGAGGACGTGGAGGTGAAGAAATAGGACAAAGAGGACGACAAGGACAAGGAGGAGCAAGAGGAGGACGAGGAGGGGGGAGAGGAGGACGAGGAGGGGGGAGAGGAAGGGTAAGAAGAGTAAGAAATAGAATTGCTGATGACATCAGAGCTATAATAGTGGACCATGTAATCATCCATGGAGTGACCCTGAGGGAAGCTGGCCAACGGGTTCAACCTAACTTGAGCTGCTACACTGTAGCAAGCATCATAAGGACATTTTGAAATGAGAATCGGTTAGTACAGTCACTTTGCACTAAGATTTGTAGCACTGCCATATGCCAATGAGAAACACAACAATACCATAGATGTAAAATTCCAGAAGATATTTTCCCCAGTGCTTGGACTAGAGGACATTGCATGTGATGTAGACAAAACTTTGTGACCGGACCCAGAGAGACGACACGATGTAGACTGATTTCTTTTTTTTCCTCAGTGAAATTACTATTTTGTTTTGACTTGGAAATAAACACTTGTGTTTGTTTTGTTGTGTGTGAATAAACACCAGTACTTGAAGTTTGGATCCGTCTATGTTTATGGACCTATGACAACAGTATGAGCTCAATCTGACATGGCCTACCTTGTGCACAGAGAAAGCAAAAGCCAGATGTGTTTTTCATTCATACCATCAGTGTGTAGTTGGTGCCTTGTGTGCTTATTAATGTGATGGCTTGTGTTAACTGTTGGATACCAAAATACCATTTTTACAAAGGTGTGGAGAGTTAAGCAAGGGTTATTCGCTTTTACAAGAAAACTACAATGTTTTGCTAATTGGGTGAAGAGTTTCCTTATTTGTGTGTAGAGTTTTGCAAAAATAGCCAATAGTTACAAAAAATGTGCTTAAGCCATCAGAAAAAACTGTAAGATTAAGGAACTGACCTCCCAGCCCATTGTTCCTTCAGTGGGCTGGGTTCAGTCATTATGCAAATGTACTGTTTATAAGACTGGGGAAACCTGCAGTCAGCTGAGACTGAAGAAGTCACTTGGATGACGCTACGCTACGTCCAGATGAACAGAATCAACTTTTTGGAGATTACCATCGCACTTTTTCAATAGCATGTAGAAAAACTGAGAGATGCTGGTAAAATGACACTTCTTTCTTGTTATTTTGAGATATCTAAAGGGATTAAATGTGTAGTGTTCTTTACACAGACAGAAAAGCCAGTTTGGTCCATTATGTAAAATCAGTTTGATGTCCTCTGCACTAGAGGCTGGCTCTAAAATGGATCAGATCCACAAAGTCTGATGTTAAAATGTTCAGTTTAACAGTATTACAAAGCATATTTACAGTCTTAACCTCACATTTCCTCCACTGTTTAACATGGCAAATTGGGCAAGATTAAAACACACAATTTTTTGTTAGTTAAACAAAAAAAGAAAAAGGTTTTTACCATATTTTATTCTTTTACATATGCTGACAGCCTCTTGCAGCTTGCAGCACTATTCCTGGACACCTTGACCTTTCTGCACTCATTCCTGGCTGAGGAATTGTAAAAGTTGTTGCTTCTATAGTTAAATAAATATTTGGTACGTTACTAAATATTTACTATCATATAAGTAGGGATGGGGAGTGTTTCTTTTAGAGCCGTGTCTTTAGTAAAAGAAGTAATAAAATGCTGAAAACAGCTCTTTACATATGAAACTGTATTATTGGCAAATTGTGTAAAAAAAAAAATCCCCATTAGTGTTATATTGATTAGTAGTACTGCTGTAGATGTTTAGAACCTAGCACTGTGTCATGTTAACTGTATGTACCTACAGCAGGATTAAAAATATTAATGAAAAATGAATCTATAAAAAAACCCCAGTCAAGTTGCTGGTTATATTATACTGGATGTGCAGCCTGAGAAGTGCAAGCTACAGCTTTGGTGAGTGAAATTCTAGTCATTTAGTAGTCCTACTCACATTGACTTACTCAATATGACTGCATTGCACCTGTACAGTCTTTGAATACAGATTGCTAACCAAGTTAGTTATCCTGATGAATTATCACTCAATCCTCTGATTCGTATAAATTAACCTCTAGCTGGAAAACGCAACATGGTGGCAGCGAAATGAATACACTGAAGCTTCAGAATGCTCAAGTGTCTAACGTTGGCGTCATGGACGGGTTTCAAGGTTCCAGACCAATCTCTCCCGTTTGTCTTCTGCTTTGCCTCTGCAATCTAAGAGAGAAAACTGTGACTACATTTCACTGCGAATGTACTGTGTGTGGATGGTTGTAAGCGTGCAGTGAAAATCCATTATTTATTTCTTTTTTGGAATAGCAAAGTGACTTGTGCCCTCCTGTCAAAGTTGGTTGCTAGTTCAGTTCAAATGGTCTGCTGCCAACCTGTTGATGTCATGGTGGCTATGTCCTTTATTTATACTGTCGATGGAAAAGACCAAGCACAATTCCAGGTTTTCTAAATGGTGTGTCAAAGAGTTCAAGAATACAGTTAGATTTTCAGGCTCAAGTGCCCTCATACAGATGATTTTACATGAAAAGTGGCATGGCTTTGCAAAACTAGCCTTTTGACCTGTTACTATATTTTGGCTC